TCTGTTTGCCTTGGCCAATTCCAGGACCATCACTCCTGCCCTCATCCAAGTGTACAAGCCAAACGTGCCTCCTGTCCTAGAAAGAAAGCCCTTGGTGGGTTTGTTTTTACCATGGACAATGGCCTGTATTTGATTCAGCTTCATTTAATAAGACCTTGTTCAGACCAGAGATGGATTACAAACTTCCACATCAATCTTCAGGGCCTGATCTTATTATAAACCACCACAAATATAACCATAAAAGCCCTATTGATTGATGCAGAGCTTGGTAATCCATCTGTCCCCATCTATTATTCTGGGGATAATTTTTCATTATCTGGATGGCAGCTGATTCCTCACGCATTAGTATACAGTGGCAATTACCAGAAGCAGAAAAAGCCCCCACATTAGCAGGAACAATAACACCTGTCAGGAAGGGGAAGCAAGAATTCCTACATAGCATGCTTCTGAGCTCTGGGACCAGGTCTGAATTGCAAGGAGTTTGAAGATGGGATTCAGTGTTGACCTTGGAAGTGGAGAGGGAAAAGTTTGCTTGTGTGTTCCTTCCTTGAGGGCATAGAGTGTGTGCTCCCTTTAGATGACATCATTGTCAATCCAGTCATAGACCCTGGACAGCTGACATGGAAACCTTTCCAGGATTGCTCAGGGGCAGCAGGGTTTGTGGGACAGGTGTTCCTGCCCGAGGTAGCTAATAGCCACCAGAAACTTGACCAGAGGGAATGTTATTTAAGGTGAGAGTATTGAGCGAGACACGAGTGAAGAAGGAGAGACATGAGTGAAGACGGAGAAAAGTCGAAGCCTCCTGAGAATGGTGCCATTTGCATAGTGTGGGAAAAGTCCTTTCCACAGACCAATAAGAGATGGTCCCTCTCCACACAATGATTCCGTAATCTGAACTTTCTTGTGTTTGGCAAGATGCTATTTTTTTAACATGGAGAATATTGAGATAGACGTGGCTGAAATATTTCTAAGAGCCATTGAAGGAATCATTTGGTAAATTTCTGAGTTTTGTTTTCCCAAAATCAAAAATCCTGTGTAATTGACTTCTCAAGGGAAACCCTCATGCAAAGTGATTTATCATCAAGTGGCTTCGTATGGACAAACCCAGCAGGGTGCGGCCACTGCTGCTGCGTGTTAAGAGCCAGCCATAAACTAGAGGCTGTGGGTCTCTCTGAAACCAGCTGAACAGCGACCAGTGAAGAGACCGGCACACAGCAAAGCTTTGGTGGTGGGGAGGGGGTTGTTCTAGTCCTTCAAACTAAAAAATTGCAGTTTGATTCCAAGCATTAACCAATCATCCAAAATAGGAATATGCTTGTATTTAATCTATAAGCAGAGCCACCTTGAGCTACTCACTTAAATCATGTATCTGTAAACTGTGGTCCATGGGCCAAACGTGGCCACTGCCTGTTTTTGTAAATCAGGTTTTATTGGAAAACAGCACCATTTGCTTCTTTGCCCACTGCCTGTGGCTGCTTTTGTTTTTGCTGCAATGGCAGAGTTGAGTAGTTGTGACTGAGGCCATACTGCCTGTAAAGCCTAAAATATTTACTGTCTGGTCCTTTAAGAAAAGGTTTGTCTACCTGGGATCCACATGAAGATTTCCACATGGAGGAAACTACTCCTAGCTCTTGGGAAGACTAAATAATGGGGCACATGCTATAAACACCACATGCATGACTTCTCCTGTGTTATTTTGCTTTCTTCTAAGTGAGCAGCCTTCCAAAGAGAGGAAATAATAAAGAGCCCTTCTGAATTTTCCATATTTCAGCCTGCTTCCTGGAAATATTATTGGGACCACATGTCAGAAGTCTCAGTCTTTGTCCAACCATCATGAGGGTCTGTAGTTTATTCTCATAGTTGTAACTTCCTAAGCAGGAGCCCGGGAACCCATTAAAACCTACGCTCCAGGTTTTGAAGCACACGGCTGTTTACTTTGCAAGGAAGGTCTGTGCAGGGGCGGTAAACTGTTGATCTTGAACTTATTTAACAACAGAATGTGGCCACAGGTGTGTGGGATTTTGATTTAGATGTTTGGTTTTCTTGGGGACGCTACAGCAGAGAATTACCTTTGTCCAGGCTCTGCTTGCTGACCAGGGAAAGTCATTTTTCTTCCTTAGCATCAGGCACCCAGTTTGTCAGACAGGTACAAAAAAATGCAGGGTGGAGATGGGTTAAATCGATACCAGGTGTGAAGGCTTAGCTAGGTGCATCTAGGGGTCCTGTAGAAAGCATAGCTGTTGTATGGCGGGTGTGTGTCTGCCCAGACCGTCTTAGCTGGTGATTAGCCCAAAATGCACCCTTCACGTTTTAATGTGGGAAATCTATGAAGAAAATTTACACAAAAGGCAGGAGAAGGGCCTCCAGGGTGAGGCCAATATCAGAAGTAGATCATTATCCTTCTTTCTGTTAACTTGGTTTCTGATTTTTTACCTCTTAGTTACAAGTTTAATCGTGAAGCTAAGATCACATTATCATCAGCATCACCTTCACCATCATCACCATCACCATTATCATATCACTATCATTGTCAGCAGCATCACCATCATTATCATCACCATCATCACATCACTATCACTGTCATGATTACCATCACCATTATTACCATCATCACATCACCACCATCATCATTACCATCACTATCATTATCACTATCACCACCATCTTCATTGCCATCACCGTTATCATCATCACCATCATTATCATCACCATCATCACCATTCCCATCATTATTACCATGATCACCATCACCACCACCATCACCATTATCACCATCACTATCATTATCATTACCATCATCACCACACCACCATCACCATCACTATTATCATCACCATCATTATCACCATCATCATCACCATCACCATGATTATCATTACCATCATCACCACCATCACCATCGCCATCAGCAGCAACCTCCTTCTCATCACAAGAAGCACAGACACAGGATGAGCACATACACTTCGTGACAGCATGGCTTTCTCTTGACTGGGCCAGAGGGAGTGTGTGGGTAGAGAGCAAGAGGAGACTGCACAGGCAACCTACCCTCCGCAGCTGTCCATCTTTTTCAATCCTTCCTCTGCACACGAGGTCTGAGTTGGGTCTCATGAAACTTGGCACATAGGGATTACCAGAGCTGGTAGACACTTCACTGTTGGTGGGATTAGGGGTGGTCCCTGTGGCATAACTTAGCTTTCAACTCATTAGCAAACCAACTTGACAGTCCCAGAGAAGGGACTTGCCTGGAGGTTTAAAGCAGGTGCCACAGCTGGGGCACAGGTTTATGGGAGGTCATTGGCCAGAACGACAGTGACTGCAGCACCTTTATTCAGGGGGCATCAGAGCAGCTGTTGCCTATGGGTGAGCATTACTAGTGCGGCAAGCACACGATAGGTGCAAAACAAACAGTTCCTGAGTCAATGGATAGAAGAGGGCTTGGGAGAGACCCGCCACGCTCATGTGTCTGCTCCACTGTTTGCCAGGTGTTGTTATTCTGTGGGTCCTGGAGGGGAATCCCTCATGAAAAACAACAATTACCCCCAGAGAGGGGGAAACAGGAAGACAAAGCTTGTTTTCTAGCTGTGCCAGCATTTAATCATTTATGAATAATTTCCCCCATAAGGATCATATCCAGCAGAGAGGTAACATCTGTTTAAGAGACTGTCCTTGGGAGGCCGCCAGAAAAATCTTGACACTGAAACCCACCATGCTGAAACATGCACATGCAGTGTTCTCACCCCAGCAGCCCAAGAGGTTGGTCAGGTGTGAGGGGCAGGTCTCTGCAAAGCAGACACCAAGGCGGAACGCCAGGTGGAGACAGGACCGTTGCTTGGATCTCAGGCGGAAGGACACGGGGAGATGAGTTGGAGGAGGTGCTGCCACCTGGGGGCTTGGCGGACTCCCTCACTGCCTTGATCTTCCAGCTTCTCAGGTGCTGAAGTGGACCTTCGGGGTAGCCCTGGCTGGCTAGTAATGTCCCCAGCATCCTATATGTCCCAGGAAGTATGTGACAGATGTGTAGTCAGAGAAGAAGGTGGTCTGGGGTAGGGACCAGAGGCAGGAGCTGTTGCAGACCTGCCTTCCTGTCTCCCCAGTCCTGGGTCTGTGGTTAGTGGCAAATGTTGCAGAAGGTTTTGGGACAGGTGGGGGATGGGAGAGAATCCCTGCTTTCTGCCATCGTGCCTGTGGGTGTCAGTAAACAGCTCTTGGCCAGAGCTCTACCTGCCCCACTTCTGAAGTGGCTGGTCCCTGTCCTGCCGATTCCAGTGCCTCCCACCTCCCCATTCAGGGATTGGGGCCAGGGCAACAAGGCTAGACCGTAGATTCTCCTTTGGGGCTGTGGGAAGCATCCACCCTTGGCCTGACACTTTCATTCCTGGAACCTCATGAAGCAGTGAACTTCTTAGCGAGGACTCTGGAAAGAGGAAGATGCCACCCAGTGACCCGTGTCTGTGAGGGTGTCACCCCATGTCCTCTTCTTTTTACCTCCCCAATATGTACTGACCCATCCTGGCTCCCCCTGGGTCAGGCAAACCCCGCTCCCACTCATAGGCCAGCAGCCCTGGGGCTCACAGTTCCAGAATAGAAGAGCAGAACTGGCCCAGGGCGTGAGGGGAGAAAGGGGTCACGGGGAATATCTCACCCAGAACTGACCTGCCGCCGGGTAGACGAGGTAGGTGAAGGGTTTGGCAGGTGCAGGAAAGAACACAGCTGCCCATGATCCAAGTCACGGCTTGGAGACTGAGAGGGTGGTGGAAGGAGAGAGCCCAGAGCTGGAGCTCCCCCTTCCTGGACCCCAGGTGAGAGCAGCCTCATGCCCAGGGCCTGCAGTCCAGGAGGAGAGAACTGAGCACCTGTCATGTTGCCCCGAGTTCCCCGCTGTGGATGGGACCTGGCATCCCCAGCTGGGTTGGGGGGATGTGCCTTCACCTTTCCCGGCCCTCCCTCGCCTCCTGAACCTGGTTTCACGGGTGCCCTCTTCCCTCTTTCCTTCTTTCCAGGTCTGGCTGTCCATCAGATCATCACCATCACCGTCTCCCTCATCATGGTCATAGCTGCTCTCATCACAACTCTTGTCTTAAAAAATTGGTAAGGCTCCTTGGGCCCTTCTGGCCCAGAAATGGGGGACTGCAGGGGTCCCTGGGTGGTGAACACAGAAAGGCCCCCGCTTTTCAAAGCCAGCCTGTTCTGCTGGCTTCTGCCCAGGCAGTTTAGCTGCCACGGGCTGCTCGCCGTCCAGCGCTGCCCTTTGGCCCGGCCCCTATCCTGGTTTCCCTGCAGAAGGCCAGCGAGCCCAGCCTTCATGACAGAGCTTCTCAGGGTGTGTGTGGTCCCGGGTTCCAGATTATTTTTCTCGATGCCAGTGTCCGTTGGGATGTTGTCCACCCAGAACACAGTCCCTATTTCTTGTCTCCTCTGCCCCTTCCCTGGAAAGGTAGGGATGCGGCCCTTCTGCCAGCACCCAGTGGGATCCCACATCCCTCACTCAGGCTTGGCGGCCAGTTGCTGAACCAGCCCTGTTTGTATTCGTTCCTCTCAAAGCCACTCTGTGTGCTGAACTAGGTTACCGCTTTGCTCCAGGCAGCCTGCCTTTGCCTATTTCCTCCTGGAAATTGGCCTACTTTGAGGCTGGCCTTGCTGGGTGTACACACCTGATAAGCCCCTGAGAAATCAGGGGACTGCTGGGAGACCCTGCTGTTCAAAAGCGCCTTGGGGACCTCACCTGCCTGCAGCCACTCCTCCAGCAACTGTGTCTCCTTTCGGCATCCAGGCTTAAAACTCCCTCATAGAAAAACAGACCCAAATGGTCCCCTTGCTGCCTGCACACAGCCATATGAATCAGACAGGGCTGATGGTGGAAACTGCATCAGAGCCTCAGAATCACAGGGGAGCACAAGAAAGTGAGAGAGAAAAAGCCAGGCTCTGGGATCAGAGGAGGTGGGACCCCTTGGCAGGACACGGGAGGGTGGGAGGTAGCACAGCCCACAACAGACCTCCCACTCGGCTAGCGAGGGCTCAAAGCCACCTCCTGATAGGTAGCAAACTGGAACCCCGGGCATTTTCTGGAGACAGGTGTTGAGAGAACAACATGGAGTTCATAGCGGGGCTTCTTAGGCAGCGGCTGGCCAGAGGAGGGGCTTTGGACCCCTGGACTGTGTGGGTGTATGGAAGGACAAATCCCACGGGCCATCTCGGTGAAGGGCTTCATCTCCCCAGAGACAGGGGACTTTGTAGCCTATTCTGTCACAGGTTGATGACAAGCTTTCATCTTGCTTTTCCCACACTCGAGCTTATAGCAGACCTTCAAAGAGCCCTTTGGGAGAACAGTCCGGGAGGCTGGATGAGCAAGTTCGATGAACCTGACCTCCCTCTGAGGAAGACTTTTTTTGGGGGGGCTGCCCCTGGGTTTGGCATTCACCTTCTGACCTTGGTTTATGGGGTAGGGGGCTTCTACTCCAGGAATCGGGATTCCTTTCATTGGGAAAACCAACGCAGGAAATAACCAAGACTTAGGAGACAGGCCTATCCCCCCTGCCCCTTGCCTTCGCATAGCCCCTCCCTGTGCACAGGCCCTAAGCATGAAGGGGAAGGGGTGGGCAGGGGAAATGGCCCCCAGTGTGGGCTCCCCATCCAGCAGGGGAGGGGCCTCCCAGCCAGCCCCCTTGTCCGTCCTGTGCTCTCATCATAGAAGCGGCATCCAGCGGCCCCGATTCTTGCTTTCTCAAATCCCTGGAGAGTCAGGGGTGGAAGTCCCATGGTCACTCTAAGTGGCCTCTGGAAACCCCTGTGGTTCACAGGAACTAGACCATAACAGGCAGGGCGTGCAGGACACCTCCCTCCGCAGACCTGATCAGGGATGAGGGACAAGCCAGCTCGTCATTTCCAGCTTGTGTACGTGCCCCTGGGTGGGGTTGAGGACAGGGGCCTTCTCACTCATCAGCTTTCCCCAAAGACGGGTCCACTGTCCATTCTGAGATGAAGGAACGGACCACCCCAACCTGTGCCCAAAGGTTCCCACACGCTCTAGGCCCCTCTGGCAGGAAGGACCCACCACGGCTTTAATCCCGTTGAGGCGTTCATGGGGACACTGAGTCAGCACCATGGTCTGGCTGATGCTCTTTAGTTAAGCAGGTCCCTAGCTCTGCGATCAAATGGCTCGCCACTTACCCCTCATCCTCCCTGCTGTAATAGCCATATTTAAAATTCAAATTTCATTTTTTTTTTTTTAAAAAAGAGTTGATTGCTTGATTGTGGTTGATCTTTCTGAAGAGGCTGGGAATTACCGTTTAATATGAAATGATGCGTAGCTCATGCCTGCAAGCGAAAGACCCACAACGGAAGTCTGCAGTTGTGCTTGTGGGTTTCTGGCCTCTGCCCGTCCCCCCACCCCAACCTCTTTCTCTTCCAGCTGTGCCCAAAGCGGGAACACTCGTCGGAACAGCCACCAGCGGAAGACCAACCAGCAGGAAGAGAGCTGTCAGAACCTGACGGACTTCACCTCGGCCCGGGTGCCCAGCAGCCTGGACATATTCACGGCCTATAACGAGACCCTGCAGTGTTCACACGAGTGCGTCAGGGCGTCTGTGCCCGTGTACACCGACGAGACGCTGCACTCGACGACGGGGGAGTACAAATCCACATTTAATGGAAACCGGTAAGCTTGGGCTCTGCTAGACCCTGCAGCCGTGAAGCTCTTGGTGGTCCCGACCCCCGGGGGCCACGGTGGCTGAGCTGAGAGCTGTTGGTCGGTTTAGGTCTTCCCTGAGGTGGCTTTGAGGGCCCGAGCCAAGGCGGACTGCTAATTTGGCAAAATGAGAGAGGCAGGGTTGACAGCAAACAGGCGTTCAGCTGCTCCCAGAGAACACAGTGGCTGGAATTTCCTTCCAGACCCCTGGCCGTGGGCAGTGGCGGGAAATGCATAGTCTCCCAGCCCTCGCTCTGAGCTGTCATCCTTCATGCCCCAGAGCTCAAAGGCCGGCCCCGTGGTGGTTATCGGCCTCCTAAATATCAACAGATCACATCAGCCTCCCACCAGAGTCAGCGTCTCTGAGCCCTGTCAATAAAATGTCAGCGGCAAATTTAGCAAAACTATCAGATACTGACCAGACTCCCAGACCGGACGTATGTTACTAAATGCTTCTCCTTTTTTATCGTTCATGTGTAATCCCTCAAAGAAAATATACCCCACAACCACCCGTGAGAATATTTAAGAAACCCTTGAGTCAGCTTTCAAAGGTTTGTCCAGCATTAAATTAAAATATCAATAAGCTTTCCTTTAAGTGAGCATACATTTATGCATCGTTTTGTAAATTAAAATAAAACAGTCTCCAACAACTTGAAGAAAGGAGGAGGCTGGGAGGCTCCACCGTGAGCAACAGAATTAGCACCCAGGATAACACTGCCCCAGGCCCCCGGAAAGGGCTCCCCTGGAACCCAGGGAGAGGTGACTGGACTCGAGTTGTTTTAGAAGGGGCTGGCTGCATTCTCCCTTTCGTTCTATTTGCTGATTTGTTCAGGGGCCTTGGAGAGCGAGAGCTGCTGGGGCTGTCGCATCCATGGTTAACGTGTCTTTGTCCTGTTGGCTAGAATGAGCAGATGTTCCTGAAATACCTTCTGGCCACACCTCTTCTTGCATGTCCACGTTGCATTCTGCCATCTGTGATATTCTCTGTCTTAGACGTTCCCTTTCCTTGCAGGGGAGGACAGTGGCACTCAGAACCTCAGAACTGTTGTTCTAAACCTCAGTGGTTTTACACTCAGACATTTGGGGAGCTCATGGGTGCCATTCCAGCCTTCCAGAAGGCTGAGTTCACAAATAACTGGCTAACAGATTTCCAAACCATTTCACTGAATATGTGGATGTTGGCTTGGATATGAATCTGGGCCAGCGACTGCTTGGGCTGTGTGGGTAGAGGGCAGAGGGCCGTGGGCTGGCCTCTGGTGCTTCACTTTTCCCACCTTCTGTGCCTGTGTTGTGCAGGGAGGTGGGGTGGGGGGATGTCCAAGAGCGGAGTTGGCACAGCTGGTGCTCTCAGGCCCTGGCATGGAAGCATCGGATGGAACGAGTTCTTGCCTTTTGGCCCAAGGTCATGCTCTGTTGAGTTTCACCGGCCTTGGGAAATAATAGCTTAGTCTCAAAGGTGACAAAATATGGGGGAGACATTTTGGGAGCCAGGTTCCATCCTTTCTGTCACGTGCAATAAAGTGGGTCAAATCTGCCATCAGAGGCAGAGACTCCAGGCTCTGGGCTAATCCTGCAAATTCAAAAACGAAAATCTGGAGACGGCACAGCCTGCACAGCAAAGTGCTCGCGTGCCCAGATCCCTCGGTCTGTGTCCTCCAAAGCCTCCCAGGGTAGAAAGCATTCGTGGGTGAGGACTTCTCCCAGCCACAGGGAATGGGGGGGGGGTCCTTCCTGGCAAGGCCAGGAGTCCACATTAGTGCTTCCTTTCTCAAGAAGCCAGTCAGTCTCCACCGCAGGCCTGCCCCAGCTTGCCTGTCATGTGTCATGTACCAAAGCCCATTTTTCTGTTCACTGCAGACCCTCCTCTTCTGATCGGCATCTTATTCCTGTGGCCTTCGTGTCTGAGAAATGGTTTGAAATCTCCTGCTGACTGGCCGAAGTCTTTTTTACCTCCTGGGGGCAGGGCAGACGCCATGTGTCTATTTCATGGTAGGTACCTCTCTTTGGACATTCCTGTTTTCATTCTCTTTCCTCCCCTCCCCACTGCCCTCCCCTGTACTCTTTGGGATAATTGGGAACCATTTTAGACATGGTGGGTGGATTTCCAATGGCATCACTTCTCTGAACATGAGCCGGGGACCTGGCCTTTTGATCTTGATGTTGGATTTGGTAGAAGTGCCCTCCCCATCCCAGGGGAGGAGAGTAACAGACGCTCACACACCCTGATTCCACGTCCTCACTATTCTTACTAGTGCCACTCCTTCCCTCAGAAAGGCCACGACGCGCGTGGCCTACATGGCAGGGAAAGTCATTCCCTGAAACAAGTGACAATTACAGCTCTCTTTTCCCGCAACAGGAAGAGATTAGGGCAGCATCTAGGGAGGCAGGAATCGCGCCCCCGTCACATGTCTTTACATCGGGGGAGGGCACAAGGCAGAATTAAAATACAATTTTGAATTATAAAAATAAAAGATAAGAAAGAAAATGATAAAGAAAGAAAGGGAAGAGTTGAGACATCTACTAATTTGAAGCCAGGAACCGGCACCAGAACAGGATGAATTTTCCACGCTCTGCTGGATGGGAACATTTGGTTTGCTTTCAGTGATATTGACTTTAATGCTAACGTTAAATTGCCTCCTTCTGTGCTGAGTCTTCGGAGCACTCGGGCTGCTGAGGGGAGAGAGCATTTCGCTCTCATGGCCCCACATCCCATGCATTCTATAAGCACGGCCCATGGGTGCGACCTGAGGTTTTCGTGTGGTTTTCATGGTTCTTTTCGATGCTGGGCTTTCTCTGCATCCTCATCTTGCTTCCTTCCAAAGGTGACCTCTGATCCCTTCCATGAGTGGGGAGCCCTATTTCTAGGATGAAATACCAATATTTGAAAATAGCTTTTTCTTACTTTTTGCCCACCTTCTGATATGGAGGACTGAATGGACAACGTCCTCAGGGGCCCGGGGACAGGGAAGGTCTGGAGGACTCAGCCGGCTGCACCTAGCTGTGGCCGGGGAACCGGCTGTAGTCAGAGAGGGGAGTGAATCGGTCAGTTCCTCATCCTGGCGCTAATGGACCGCGTGTTTGCTCCAAATCAAATCTCCAGCCCTCACTCCTTATCCTGAAGCCAACATGTTCTGCCAACTGGCAAAGAAATGGAATTAGATTAGAGTGGGAACCGAGCTGCCCTGCAAGGGCCTCTGCTGCGGCAGGTAAGAGGCAGGTTGTCCCCACCATTCAATGGGGGGATGTGCAGCCTAGAGCATCCGTCAGAAGCCAGTGCCTTTGTCTGCCTCACCGCAGCTCCCCTCATGAAGGGAACCCCCTTTGGAGTGCCAACCAAGCTAGCCACAGCAAGCCGGCTTGCTAGCCGTGTAGTCCTTGACCCGCCTGGTAAGGCCTCTGTAGGGACTGGGTCCTGGTGGTTGCCAGCATCTCTGTTATGATTTTTAAAATTTGTTAATGTGTAATTCATTGACCTGGGAGATGCAGGGCCTTAGGGTCAAAGACCCTTAGTCCCTGCCGCCAAGAGCCACAGGCCCACAGAACTGGAGAGGTCAACTCGAGCGGACAGCTGCCTAATATAGATACTTGCACGGCAGCTCGTGGAACACTTTTTACTTGCTCAGTCCTCCCAGCAATCTCGTTTACAAGTGGGAAAACTGAGGCAGTGGGTGGTTAAATGACTTGGCCGAGGTCAGCTCCCTAGGGGAGAGGGGACGGCTTTCTAATGTTTGCACGACAGCTCGTGGAACACGTTTTACTTACCCAGTCCTCCCAGCAATTCCTTTTACAAGTGGGGAAACTGAGGCAGTGGGCGGTTAAATGACTTGGCCGAGGTCAGTCAGGTTGTAAGTGGTGGGGCTGGATCACCTGCTGGCTGCCTGGCTCCGGGACTTCCCTGCCCACTCCAAAGGCCTGAGCCCAGGGAGCCGCCTTTTCCATTAGAACAGGAAGCTGCAGCGCTGACTTTTCAAAAAAAAAAAAAAAAAAGATAAAATAGGGCAGAAAAAAGGTGTTTTATTTACTCATCTGCCCCAGAAAACCTTCGTGTCTCATCAGCCTGGTCCTCCCCTTCCAGCAGCACGGGGCACTGAAGACCCCCCAGAAACACTATTGGTGGGGGCTATCCCTGTGCTGCAGCCCCAGGCAAAGGCAAGAGATACAGGTGCTCCCAGATGGGCCGCAGGTGGACCCTGCTTCCCAGCTGTGCCTGAGGAGCTGTTTCGGGACCACCGGCTTTATACAAGGAAACATCTCTGCGTCTAAAGAGCCGACCCCTCCCTGTGGCTCTCAGGTCAGGTAGGTCGTCCGCAGAGTTCAGAAGAGCCAGTGAGACTCACTGAAGGCAGCTGCACTCAGCCTCGGAATCCGCCAACACGAAGCCACAGCCCACTCCTGGTGGCTTCCTCAGTAGCTGCGGACCAGGAGGGCTACGCACACAGCCTCGTTAGTCCTTGATAAATGCTTATAAGATTCCGTTGCCGCTTGCGGGACAGACCGTTTATCACTCACTAGGATGGAAGCGTTGGGATTCTAAGTATCCCCTGAATCTTGCAATTAATGCCTGGACATGAGCATCGGGTGCAGAATAGCCAGAAGCATCTCTCAGATTTGCTGGGGTACTTATTGTGCCTAAATAAATAGCAATTAATACTAAACCATTTAATTAAGGCTTAAGAGCCAGTGGAGCTACTTCTCTCTCGTATGGCTGGGAAACCTCTCCAAATGCATTTTTAATGATGATGCGGTCGTTTGTTACCACACCATTGTCTTCTAAGTCTAATCCATGTGCATGTTTGGGACCCAAAGGCAGCCAAGTTCATTTTCCTGTAAGTGGTTGTCCGGAATGCCAGTGGCTCCTGGGCAAATGTGGACCCTGGATTTGATAGCTTCCAACACATTCTTGCCTCAGACCACCTTCGTGGTGGGGCCAGATTGCCCTGGACAAAGTGAAGCTGGCCTTTATGCTCCAAGGAAGGGGACCTCGAGAGCAGGCCTGCATTGGCTCTCGGTCTAATTCACGGTCATCTTTCATGCAGCAGGTAAATTTCAGCAAACCTCGTTAACGTTGATCTCTTTCCCTTTGCCAAGGCCGCTTCATTCTGAATGGAGCCTGCAAAGTCATAAAAGCTGTTGAATCCAAAGCAAGTGAGAAATAAATCATGCATTATTATTATTTTCAAAAACACATTGAAGATATAACTAATAAAAATGAGAAGTGCACCTGTGCCTTCCCACTTTGTTCTTCCAAAATGTACATTAATAAAATATCAAACTTTTGTTATTCAAAGGAGCCTATTTTTCAAAGCGACATCCATACCTTTCTGGAAGCTGTGCTTGCTGAGCTGAGAATGGTACCACGAAAACTTTGGGAGAAAGTGGCCACTTCAAAGCGACATCCATACCTTTCTGGAAGCTGTGCTTGCTGAGCTTTGAGAATGGTAAATTACTTAAAACTTTGGGAGAAAGTGGCCACTTCAGATGACTGAGCTGAGAATGGTACCACGAAAACTTTGGGAGAAAGTGGCCACTTCAGATTGTCAAGAAATTCTGCTGTGCCCCAGGGACACCTGGCAGTAGCCTGTTTGCTTTTTTTTTTTTTTTTTTTCCCACAAAAGCAGACATTGGTCATTACACCCAGTGACCCACTGTGAAGCATACAGCCCAGCGGGGCCAGGCCAGCCGAGGATCTCCTTCCAGGCAGCAGAGGGCAGAATTTATCCCAGATCCCGATCTGGAAGATGGCTTTGCAAGATACACACAGCTTCCCTTTTTGGCCAGGGAACCTCGGGTGGATGTTCACCTTCAGCCACGTTGTTTTCCAGCCATGGGGTCCAGGCCCCACCTTATCTGTCTTTCCCAGCTGGCCCGGGATCCTCAGTCCTTCTCTGGGCTTAGTGCCACGTGCTAGTGTGGCACAGAAAAACCCAAGAAGCTGAAGTTTGAGCAGCAGAGTTTTGGCAGAACATGGACAACCTGAGACCCTCCTCCGGGGCCAGAGGCTGTGACCACACCTTGGTCTTGCAGGAAACCTCTCCACCCTCTGCAAAGCCAGCGTGGCTCTGGAAATGGTCATTCAAGGTGCAGGATTGGCACCATCTCTCTCTCTCTCTGTCTCTCCCCCTCTCTACCTCTCTTTCTCTTTTCCGTCTTGAGACAGAGCAGAGAGAGATGCCTGTAGTCTTGGAAGAGGCTCCCTTCCCTGCATAGCCGGGGATGTCTGGCGCTCGGGGCACAGGCTGCCACCCACTCACTGATCTTCCATGTCGTGTCTGCGGCTCCCGGCATCAGCATCTACCTGTAGTCAGTCCCCGGAGGTGGTTTCCTGCCATTAAGGATGGATCTCAGGGACTGAGGACAAAACTGCTTCACACCCCTGCCGCGTCTCTGAGCCTCATCCAGTGTTGATTCCCTGCTCCAGGCCAGGCACAGAGCTGGAACCTACATGAACCAGTGGTGAACAGGCAGGAGACCCCTGTTCTCAGGGTGCTGTCCTGCCAGCAGGGGATGCCTTGCACATCTGTCCAAATAAGCTCGATGCAGATGGTCCCATGCCCAAGATGTCACCAAGCAAGTGCTCCAGGAGACAGAAGGAAAATAGGGGATGTGTGTAGGAAGGAATGGAGGCATCCAAGAGGGCCTTCCCAGGGAGGTGATCTTTCCAGCCAAACCCTGAAGGATTTGAGGCTTGAGATTTGCAACGTGAAATCAAGGAACCTGGAACGTTGAGAGGAAGAAGAGGAAGAGCGAGGTGGAAAGGTGGCCAGCACCCAGGGCAGAAGGATCTGATTAGCCAGCATGGGAAGTACAGGAGGCTGCAGCCACTCAATCTCGGCTCACTGCAACCTCCACGTCCGCATTCACACGGGAGACTTTCACGTGGGAAAGTGGGAGGATGAAGTCTACCTGGGAGCACCTCCAGAGCCTGGCCAGACAGACGTAAGGATTGGAAGCTGCTCCTCCGGGCTTTATTCTCCTGTGTAAGGTCAGGATCAAGGACTGGAAAGCAACCAGGGCCAAGGTTCATTTAGGAAATCATTCTTATTAAGGTGGCAGCCATATGACTTATGGTCCAACCCTGAACACATTCCAGAGAGAAAGGTTGGCCTTGTGAATCATCAATGATCAGGGAACACAGGGACAGCAGCTCACAACCGGTGACTGTCCTGGGACACCAGGACCCAATGTAGGGTCTCCAAGCCCCAGGATTTTTATCTCCCTTTTAAGAAAACTTGTAATTGTAGTAAATATATGTAACATAAAATTTATCATTTTAGGCCAGGCGTGGTGGCTAACACCTGCAATCCCAGCACTTTGGAAGGCTGAGGCAGGCGGACCACCTGAAGTCAGAAGTTTGAGACCAGTCTGACCAATATGGTGAAACCCCGTCTCTACTAAAAATATAAAAATTAGCCAGGCATGTGGTGAGTGCCTATAATCCCAGCTATTCAGGAGGCTGAGGCAGGAGAATCGCTTGAACCCAGGAGGCGGAGGTTGCAGTGAGCTGAGATTGTGCCACTGCACTCCAGCCTGGGTGACAGAGCAAGAATCTGTCTCAAAAAAAAAAAAATATATATATATATATATATAAAATTTTAACCCTTTATGCATATGTAGTTCAATGGCATGAGTGCCTTTACCATGCTGTGCAGGCATCTTCACAAGCCAGCTCTTCACCTCTGTCCATCACCCTGTATTAAAACTCTGCACCCACTCAATACTCACTCCCCGTCTCCCCCCATCCCCTGGCCCCCTATTCCACTCTTTGTCTCTGTGGATTTGGTGGCTCTGGTACTTTCTATAAGTAGAATCATACAGCATTTGTCTCTACATTTTTTAACTTTCAAAAAAATTACCAGGATATAAGAGGGATATTTCTCTCTGTATTGTAATAATTACTTCATTTTTCAAGCCCCTCTTCCCCAGATCCAGGGAATGTGGAAGAGGTGGGCAGGGGTGGGGCACAGCTGGAGTAAGGCTACCAAGAGTGATCCGGCACTGACCCAAAGGCACGTCCCCCGCCCCCCCGTGTGTGTGTGTGTGTGTGTGTGTTTGTGTGTGTGTGTGACACACCCTCACTCTGTTGCCCAGGCTGGAGTGTAGTGGCGCCATCTCAGCTCAGTGCAACCTCTGCCTCCCAGGTTCAAGTGATTCTCATGCCTCAGCCTTCCAGGTAGCTGGGATAACAGGTGCGCGCCCCCATGCCTGTCTAATTTTTGTATTTTCACTAGAGATGGAGCTTCACCATGTTGCCCAGGACGTCTCCTTTCTTCACATGCAGTGACCCCTGTGCCCACATCAGCTGGTCCTCCCACAGTAGCTGAGCAGACACTCTACTGTAGCCTCATGGAGTTGTCCATACGGGTGTCATTTGGAGGCAGCAAGCAGGAAGGTGACGCCCAGGGCCCAGCCTCTTGTCCAGATGCAGAGGGGTCCAGGGAAAGACCCAGCCTCTCACCTTCACCTTCAAATGAGTAGACTCTGGCACACTGAGGCTCCTGGAGATGACAGGGACACCGTGCTGATGATCAGGGACACAGTGCTGAGCAGGAGGAACTCTCCTGGGGCCTGCCAACCTCGCTGTCCACTCCTAGGATGTGTCCTGCAGAAGGCAGGCCTGTCCCACCTGGGGCTCTTCCTCCCCAGTCCCAGCCAGAATCACTGCGGTGGGCTCAGTTGATTTAGGGGAGAGAAAGCCACACTCTTGTCTTTGGGAAGGACCAGGGAATGGACCCAGGACTGGCAGTCACTGAACTCACCTGGGGAACTCTGAAAACCCATGTTCGCAGGCACCACCCTGAGAACCTGATTCCAGGTCTGCAGAGGTGGGCCTGAGAATCTGTATTTCTGCAGAGCTCCCACGATGGTGATGATGGAGCCGGTCTGGCCGCATGCTGTGCCTGCAGCTGCTGGAAAACTTCTAGAGCTCCCACTGAGTGCTTTTCCGACTTCACTTTGGGATCAGCGGGTACACCCGCCCCATCCTACCACTTTCTGATACATGTCATCTGCACAGATGAGGATGCGGTAGCCTTTTCTTTCTATTATTGAGGGTCCTAATTGCCTGTAGTTGAGAGGAGCTCTGAGTGACCACAGAGGGACCCAGACAGCACCCTATCCCTGTGATGGAGACGCAGCTTTGGGCAGAAGGTCCCCGGGGGGGACTGTGATGTGTTCCAGCTCATGTGGCCGTGCCTGGGGTGACTCTCTGAGGGATGCTGTTCTACTGGGGGTCCTCACTCAGCCTGGGAGACTGCATTTTCCGTTTTCTGAGGCTTGGGCTGGCTGGGTGGCAGCCGCCCTTCTCAGCCTGCCTGCTGAAGGTGGCAATCGCAGTCAGATCACCCGACCTGCGCCCAGGTGGGACTCGCCTTCTCTCTCTTCAGCAAGATCACCTCTGGGGAGATACGGGAGGAGGATTTCCTCGTGCAGTCCATTTCTCTCTCCTGAGTCCTGGCCTCGGGGAGCCTCGGCTGAGCAGTGGACGGACACAGACTCCCTTTCCTCCTGCAGCAAAGGAGTGGAACAGGCCCCATGCCACCCCCCACAGGAGGAGGCTGGACAGGGAGTGAGCAGGGCTGCCACACTCAGGCCCTCTGACGTGCACGCCTGGCACCAGATGCCCCAGCGCCCCCACCATGAGTTAGTGGACAGGGTGGTCCTAGCCCCTGGTAGCAAGCTCAGAGCTCTGTAGATGACCAGAATTCACACAAGATTTAGGCCCCCACTTCATACCCCTGGGATTCCCAGTGTTTCTTCCAGTTCCTGCTGACCAGTTCTAGTGAGGTCTTGTCCACGTTCCAAGGACCCCTCCATGTCAGTGAACCGATAAAGGGAGCGATCGGGCTCTGCACGCAGGGGTCCTGTGTGTGGGGGTCCTGGTCGCCCGAGAGCCCCACGGACTTGTGGCACCCTCGGCCTGCTGCCATTTAATCTCTTCTTGTTTTCTTTCCACACAGGATTCCGTTGGTGAACCTGTAAAAACAAAACAAACAAAACAAAACAAAAAAGACAAAACCTAAAACTAAGCTATCTAAGGGGGAGGGTCCCCGCACCTACCACTTCTGTTTGCCGGTGGGAAACTCACAGAGCAGGACGCTCTAGGCCAAAATCTATTTTTGTAAAAATGCTCACGCCTATGGGTGACTCTGCCTTCTCCCCGAGTTTTCTTTGGAGAACAGAAAGAAGAAACGAAAGAAAGAAACCGGAGGCAGAGAGACGAGGATACCCAACGAAAGGGACGGGAGGAAGCATCCGAAACCTAGGATTCGTCCTACGATTCTGAACCTGTGCCAATAATACCATTATGTGCCATGTACTGACCCGAAAGGCTCGGCCGCAGAGCCGGGGCCCAGCGAATCATGCGGAGAAATCTTACAGAAAACAGGGGTGGGAATCTCTTCCGATAGAGTCGCTATTTCTGGTTAATATACATATATAAATATATAAATACAAACACACACACGCACACACTTTTTTTGTACTGTAGCAATTTTTGAAGATCTTAACTGTTCCTTTTTAAAAAAAGAATTGTGTTATAGGTTACAAAATCTGATTTATTTAACATGCTTAGTATGAACAGAATAAACCCGTGTTTTCTACTTTGGCAACTCACGTCACACACATATTACACACGTGTGTGCATGCACACACAATACACATACATGCATATAGACACATCTATTGGAAATGCAGTTCCACAGGTGAGCATGTTCTTTCTGGTGACCTGGTATTCCATCACCGTTCACCCCAGGGGACAGCCTCGACCCAGACAAGGAGGCCCTTAAATGACAGCCTGCATTTGCTAGATGTTTGGTGAGTGGCATCAAATGTGTGACTTACTATCTTGGGCCAGAACTAAGAAAGCTGTGGTTTTATATATGTGTGTGTATATATATACACACACATATATGTATATATATGTTTTTGTGTATATATATATATACACACACACATATGCATACGTATGATTTTTTTTTTCATTTAAATGTTGGAAGATGCTGCCTAACAGCCACACTCACATTTATGTAGCTGGTTGCTTACAAACGGGCCTGAGCCCTGGGTTGGGTGGGTGGTGGATTCTTGGACGTGTGTGTCATACAAGCATAGACTGGATTAAGAAGTTTTCCAGTTCCAAATATTAAAGGAATATATCCTTACGATGTGTGTGTGTAATGTCAGGGCAGAACTTAGACATACGTGAAGGGCCCCAGTTGGTTTGAAAACGAAAAATCGTCATTCTGTGTGCGAACCACGCGGGCTGCCCCACAGCCCGGCCTGTGCTGCATTGCCTTCCCTTGCGCAGGTGGACAGGTGTTGCCCGCTTTTTCTAGGGCCCTGAGGGTGACTTGGAATCTTGGGGGAAGCCTCGGCAGAGATGCCGTTCTCCTGTCAGCTTCCACTGGCCGATGGATGTTTCTGTGTTGTCATCGAGAATCCTACTGTAGAACTACCCAGTGGAAACAGGGGCCCCAGACCCGAGCCTCAGTACAGAGAATCCTAACCACACACACTTTATGAAAAATACTGCCATGCCACTGGGCCTTCCTCACAAGCCTCACCTGAGACGGGCTCACTGGTGGCCCAGACTTGCTGTCAACAGGGAGTGCTGTCGGGATCTAGGGATGCATCTTGTGGCCCACGCTGTGCCTCCTTAGAGGATGTTTCCTGTCTATGGGAGATGCCTAATGTGGTGTGGGTCCCTGTCTCCAAAGACTCTATTTCTCACACATGGCCCAGGTGGAACTTTAACTTCAGCAGTAGAGTGCGTGAGGCAATTCAGTGAAGTGTCGCAGGCCAGGCGACAAGGTTAAAGATGAGGCAGACAGCTGACCTTACTGCCCTCACTGGCCAGGCTGATGACCTGATTCTTCCCTCGGGTTCAGTCTCCCTCTGAAACACCTTGAGATATGCTTCAAAAGTTCGCTTTTGTATCTCCTGAAACACGTGAACCTAGAGTCATGCCTCTGGAGGGGAAAGGGCTGTTTCTGTGACACAGCCGTGTTGAGATCTGTATCCATGGTATTGCTCACAAATTAGGAAAAGTTGTTCTTTAGTTTTTGTTCTGTCGTTTTCCACCCCCAAGCTTTGGCACATCCCGAGACAATGCAAACATCCGCCACTGGCATTTGGCCATCTCCAGGTTCCTGGCACTCACCTGCACGGCGCTCCAGCCTGCAGCTCTCTCCGCGCGCCATCCGGCCTTGTCCATCCCATTCTCCTTCAGTCACTCCCTTCCGCTGAGGTGGGCCTCCTGACTCCAGGTGAGCACAGCGTGGTGCGAGTGCGTGGTGACGGCTAGCAGCGTCCAGCAGGCAGTGGGGTTGCTGCTTTGGTCTCTGATGTTCTGAGCTCCAAAGTGAGCCCAACCGAGGAGGAGGTGACAGCAGGGGGGCCCCGTTGGTTCACTGACCATGAGAATCCAGGATTCCTGAGGGACTCCTGGTATCTGCTCTGTCATCTCCCAGCTGCTCGGCCCCCTTCTCCGACCATGGGTGGCACCCTGGATGCCCTGAACTCTTTCCTGGGTCCATGAGACGTAGAGCCTTGGAAAGAAGTGTAAAGCAACAACCCTCTTGTCCCCCATCAGAGCCACAGGTTCAAGGTAGGGCTGTGAGACCCACACAGGCACAACCACCGGACAAGCCAATGCGTGCCCATTCCACACCTGAAAGTCTGCTTCTGTACCGACATGACATCCGTCAAGGTAAATCCACACGGGTGAAGGCTATTTCTGGATGATTGAGGCAGTGTATGGAAAGACGTATTATTTTACTTTTTTAAATGGTTACCTGCTCTCCCAGACCCCTCAACTGGGATCATCGTCTAGGTAAGAGGAGATAGTGAGTGAAAGTGCCTGGGCCTTGGAGACGCAGCCCCACCCACAATGAAGTCTGCACCAGGGCACGGAATTGTCCTGCTTCGGGCCTGATGTATATGTAATGCCCATGCACTTTGTGTGTCGGTGGCTGCTGCGTTGGCCTGATCAGTCCTTCTGCACCTTGGGGTAGTGTCTCAAGCTAGTTGTTGTCGTCTTTCCCCTGCTTGGCCCCTGGAATTCAGAGTCTGGGTAACAGTAGACACCTCTCTTCCCCCACCCAAGGCGTGGTCCTTACCTTTGCTTGAGCTTTCATTCCTCAAGAAAAGAACTCCAAGGAAGGGTGACGTGGTTTGTTAGGGTTTCCCAGTTTTTGTCCACTTCCATCTTATTCCTCGGAGATCCCACAATCGCAAACCCCCTGGCAGCCTCCTGGCACCTGCATTTGCCCTTAAAGCTTTACAAACAGCTGGGAATGCACTCTTTGTTGTACAGTCCAGTCCATTTCCAGACGAAGTCGCTGCTAATCTTCCTGTGCTTGGTGTCACTTTTTTCTGATTGGAATATGTGTGTCATTGCTCTTGTTTCTGAGTTTGGTGTGAGAAAGGCGGGGTTCTTCAGGCATGGTCGGGGAGCTTCCTCATCGTTTTCCATTGGGCTCAGATTCCAACCATGACCGAGACAAAGCCAAGCCTTCTCAAGCAACGTGGAAGCATAGTGACACCCTGGGGTGTGTGGAGGTGGCTGCTATTGTTCCTATGTACTGCCCTCCTTGCACACAGAAGGGAGAGGCCACTTAGGGGAACTTGTCTTCTCCAAAGTACTTCTAGTCCTTCCCAATCTTGAATTTGAGTGGACTTCTCTTATTACACTCAACTCCCAGAAATTCACTCCAGTCCTTCCTGGAACATTGTGAAATTAGAAACCTGGACTCATCAGCAAACCCCACCCAGTCTTTGAATCGGGACACCAGGAAACCCATTACTATGAATGTGATCTTACCATCTTAAATCAGTCCTTTCTTTTGAAAATACATGACTCTTTCACAGCCATATTTTAGCATCAGGAAAAGCCGTGCTTACAGGGGTTGGTCGTCAACATTTTGTGTGCGATGCCTAAGGTGTAGACTGTGTTAAAAGGTGAACACACCAAAGGATCGACCCTGTCACCTTGGATGGTCTCTTTTTTGACCCTGTTGCCCGTGGAGAGGTATTTTACCCTTTTGCTTCTTTGCCCAGGTGGTCTAGGATTGTCTGTAGCTCAGGAAGCTGGACTGACCCTGTATCTTGAAAGATAAGACCAGGAACCAGGAGTGAGGATGGGACTCTCACTCAGTGGGACTCTCACTCAGCCTTTTCATGGTCAGGCTTGGTCTTCCCATACTTAGTTCAAGATGGCACCAGGACACACCTTCTTTTGACCACCTGTTGACACCATCACCCTCTTTCATCAAGGTGATCTCTTTCATCAGGGCGTACGTGAGATGTGATGCTCCACTTGACTGTCTTCTCCCCTACCCCTGCCCCCTTCCACAAAGCCATTTCTCAAGTAACAGTGGGAAAAGATACCAAGATGCCTGATTTCTTGAACCATTCTTGTTTCAGCACATGAGTTCTTTAAGACACTACTCACATATGCCACTGGAGAGAAACAACCCATTCTGGATCACCGTAATGAGCTGATCAGTCGTTCATCTTCTTCTTCAACAAATACTTGTTCCACTTCTACCACACTGGCCATACAGTCGGAGGCAAGATTGGCACAGTTATGCCCTTGTGGGTCTTATATTCTATAGTAGAAGGAGGTGGATGGTTAATGTGAAAGAAAACCAAAATAATTTCCAGAGGGAGAAGCAGCAGGAAGAGAACAGAGCAGAGTGATGGGGTCAGGGTGTAGAGAAGGAGAGAGGGGAAGAGGGAGAGAGTGGCGGGGATCGAGGGGGAAGAAAGAGAGGAAGGGGTTGTCTGCATCTCCTCCTGCCATCCATCGCCTACTGGGAAATTATCACTTGCTGCTTGAGGGTTGGACTGGTGTTGGATGGAGCAAGAAGGCCTTGGTCTTAGCTGTTGGATAAAAACTCAGTGCAGAGCTGAAGATAAGACATCGCAGTTGTTACGATGCCTGGTTCTTCATTGAATTCCTCAGCCATTCCAGCAAGAGTGGAAGCAGAGGGGCAGGGGCAGGATGAGGGCTGCTGTCCTGGAGATGAGCTTGCCCCATCTCTGGGCACTGGCTCTGCCCCATCCCCTCCCCATGTTGGTCCCACCTGTCAGATTGCCAGGCCAACCAGGTCTCAGGTCAACCAGGTCTCAAGGAGGAAAAGGGGGTTCAACGTCAGTGACATGGCCCAGAGGGCACGGGCACCATGGGGATGCCATTCCTCTTGGTGCCAGAAGGCAGCTGCCTCTCCAGAAGCTCCCCCAGCACTGAGCGTACTTAGTGGCATCCTTCTTAAACAGCATCTGCTTTTAAGTAAGCAGCTATTCCAAAACATGCCGTGATTCATGTAATTTTTGAGTGGTTACTTTGGTGCAGTTTGTCAATTTGCTCTGCCATACTGTTTTTTGATTGTTTGTTTGTTTTCCAGTGTAAATAGCACAGCCCACATAAATGAGCCAAACTCATCATCTGAGGATCTTTGATTATTCTTCCCCACTTATTGTACATTGATGTGCCGCCTGCTAGGAAGATAAACTCCCTCTTTGCTCACTGTGAGCCCAGATCTCTGTGTTAGTTACACTCAGCCTTATCTGGGGGTCCCAGGGAGGTCTTAAATGATTGTTTGGGGTTTTGAAACATGCTACCATCCCTTCCTTCCAAAGAGCGTGAAGCATGGCTCTGTGTGGTTTTGTGTGTCTGGGTTTACAGCTTGTATTTGGATGTAAGGAGTGACTAAAAACAGGTCTAGGCTGAGATCCACTGTCTTTTAAACCACCCCAGCCCTCGGTGGAACAGAAAGAATGAGCTTCTTCTGATCTCAGATCGTTCTAGAAAGGTCTCAGCTAATGAGCACAAAGTAGGCAATCCCCAGAGTTTATACGGGCCTCCATGTGACCAAGCCATCCCTAGCTAGGAAACTTAACTCTTTGCACAACCTCCCTTCATGCTGAAGGGCCCATAGGAACATGGGAACGTTTGCCCTTTGTCAGAGGAGTGGCCCCACCCTGCCCTCTGCCTGAAACACAAAGCAGCTCCTCTTGGAACAGCCAGCCTGGGGCAGAAGCACTTGAACGTCCCATCTTCCATCTTATTTCACTTTGGTTGCAGGGAGTTAAATACATAGGCCACAGCTGACCAAGATAGCGGTGTGCACAATGGTCCCCGGAATATCCAGTGACTCAAGCGATGTTAGTCTTGGGGTCCCTAAGGCAGTAGGGCGTGGGGAGAAAGTTTCTCACCATCGATTCCCAAACACATCAGCCACAAGTCCGCACTCCACACCTGTAAACACACAGGCTATGCCCCATTGTAAAGGTGACTGAAGAGAATGTTCAACTCGATGGTGATGGGCCTGTTTTGAAGCTAAAAGCATAAAATGAATCCTCCCTGTAGCTCCATTGCCTTTTCCTCTTGAAGGATTCCCTGCTAAATGTTCTGTGCATAGAATCAAGAGAGCATTTTTGAATGAGCCATAAATCTCAGTCATATATAAGAGGCATAACATAAATTGGGCCAAGTTTGCCCATCTGGGACACGCAGGTTTATAGAGATTAAACACTAGTGAGTAGCGGGGGAAGGGAACAGTGACTGTATAAATGGCCATATAAATGACCTACTTGTCTTCTCATGTAGGCTGGAATGAGAACCTACGTATGCCGTAGATAACCGTCAATTAAATGGGTTAATGTGCCAAGCCAAGAGAGTTCTTAAGACATGCACATGGGACTGGATTAACTCTTGTCGATATATTGGATTCCATAGTAAAACATCTGTTAAGTAACATGTGGTGGGAAAGGATGCAGGGAGCGTTGGACTGTAGGAAATTCTCCTTTATACAAGTTAATTAGTTTTGTCTCTGGTGGCTCTCTCTTAAAACAGAATCCCCTGGAGACCCGGGTTTTCATGTTGTAATTCAACATCCAAATATTTGCAACATTAAATAACAACTCCGTGGAGACATCGGTCTTGCATGGGCATAAGCAGCTCACACTGGTTAGCTTTTGTCAGATTTCGCCATTTCTGCAACAAAATTTCTTAGTGTTGATGTTGATAGCTTCTGGGTTGGCAAATTGGCAGTTCACTCTAGTCTTACTGGGTTGGGCGAGTTCTTGCCCCCAGAAAATTGGGGATAGCTTTGGCCATGGAAGGAGCAAGAACACTATGCAGTCCTAGGCTCTGTTTTTTGTTTTGTTTTGTTTTTGGCACCATTATGTACCGTGAAGACTTACAGCCTCTGCTAATACAGCATAGGGGACACTTTGAGGAGCCCCAGCATCATTGTTTGAAATCATTGTACAGGGAGCTGCAGGGATGAATACCATTGTACCAATGCCCGGGCCAGCGTCTCATTTCCTAACAGAATCATCCCGTTCTTGTTCACTCTTCAGTCATCCCAAGCCAAAAGGGAAAATTCAAAACCCACTGTGACACCCCAACCCTAATTTCCAACCTTTGGAGGACTCACCTGGGGCAGGAGGGAGAAAGGGCTTTGCTGAAGTCTCAGGCTGCCGAGAACCACGTACGGGCGTAGCAGCAAGCCAATGGCATGGCTCTTGACAAGGTTTTCTATAGGGCGGCAACTGTTGCTCCCAGGGGAATCCTCTCCTGGTGCCTCCGCAGTCTATTCTGGGGTGGAAATGCCATTCTCTATGATTTCTCTCACACACATGTGGATTTCTAATATCAAGTTATGTGACTGCCTACCACCTAAGGCCTACAAAACAACATGGGAGTTTCTTTCTCGAGTGTGCAGCAAGTCAGCATGAACAGGACCCTAGCAACTGTGGGGAGCAGGATTCTCTAAGGTGCTCTTAGATACGGTGTCACTTCTACATACAAGCACAATTCTCCCAGTTAAGGGACTGGAAGACAAGCGGGGCAACTGGTTTTGAAAAGCCCGCTGGCATGCCAGAGGGGGTGTTTGGCCACACCCTCCTTGAATCTAACTGCCACAATCTATCCACAAATGTGTTTTGTTCTATTTCCGGTTTGTTTTCACTTGTGTTTGCGTTGCTTCCTCTGAAGCCAGAGGATGAAAGGCCCTGGCAAAGTGAGTTATCAGTCAACTGATGATAACTGTGATCCTTAAAGATGAATTCCCAGCCTGAGGTGACACACAGAGGTTCAGCATACGTCTCAGGATCTGTCACATGTCATGTTGCTTGGTGTGAAGATGAAAGAACAAAGTCCACATCAGTTTCTGCTCCTTCAAACAGTGTGTTGATATAAAACATTGAGATTCGGCAGAAACATGTGCCCAGTTTGCAGCACCAAATACCGGTCTTCTCAGAGGTGTTTTTGTTTTGTTTTGTTTTCGTTTTTGTTTAATTTCCTCTTCTGGCAGCCCCATTTGGATCATTTCTTCTCTTTCTTTCCTGGAGAAACAGGATGGCAGGTGCTGGAGCCCAGAGTGGGGTCACTCTCCAGCTGAAATGATTTAAATGGAAAGGAGAATGACAGCAAAGCCTCACATGAACTTAAATGACCTTATCAATGACCCTTACTAACTTACCACTGGTACCTGGATTGATGAGAGGTGAGTGGGACTAAAAGCCAGGATCAGGATCAGGTTGCTCCACACATTTGCAGAGCAGGAGCCCTGGAAATGTGAGTTAGACCCAGAAAGTATTGAACTGGACACTGAAGGAAGCTTGAGGCCATGCATTGATCACATTTTTAGAGTCTTTTACATTATTTTTTCAAAAGGAACACATGTTTACTGCAAACCATTTAGAAAATACCAATAACCAAACAGAAGGGAAATGTTTGAAAACTTCCAATTGTTTAATTCTGTAGAAACTGTTCACTGAAGGCTGAATGAGTGGGGACGAGTCACAGAGTTAGCACCAGGGACAAGTCTGGCTCCAACGTATGTTTTATGAAGTCTGATGAGCTTTCAAATGCATCTTTGCCAGCTGAACTTGTCATGCACTAAACTTCCCATTGATCATTAGAGTGTGTACGATTAAGTGGAAAAGGCAGTCAACCATTTGGATGTTTGACTTTGACAACATCAAGCATCGGCCATTGGGCACATCTGAACATTGGTGTGGAATAAACAGGATGCTCAGAGAAACATCCAAATTTTTGACTGGATTTTTCCGATGGGGCATCTCTCTAAGAATCACAGAGCTGAGAAATGGAAGGAGCCAGGTCCATGTTGATGCTCGTAGTGTGTTCAAATAACTCTTGAATTCACCAGGTCTCACTGCATTTATTTAAAGATGGAGCCCTTTGTCCCCTCCTCCTCCTCAGCTCACCCATGGAACTAGAAATTCACAAACCTGAAGCTGAACCGCAGGACAAGAAATTAAACAGCAACGGCCACATGGCCTATTTTTTCACAGGTTTTGCATTGAATGTTTTAGAACTTAATCCCCCACCCCCTTACTCATGTATACCAAAACTGGTTTTATTTTCATTTTCCTAAATTATTTTCTGATACAATAAACTGTTAACTGTTTATTTATACTTTTACAAGGAGCACTTGTTATTTTTCAAAAGGAAACAAAAGCCTCTCTGTTTTCATGTTCTCCGTGTATCTATATCACAGCTGTCTCTCTAGACATATTTATATATCATCTTCTCGAGAGAGTTAACCTCCTGTAGTTTAATGTTGTGTTTTTTTCTTTAAATGCATATCATAATCATGTTAATAAACAAAAATGACACAATATATGTGGGTGGGGGTGGGGGGGCAGGTGGCTGGGTGTGATTTCCGTACAGGTGAACTTTTATTCCAGATTTTTTTAAGTTGTTTCTGTATTTCAAAGCTATGTATTTGGAAAACATTGTAAATGAAACACCTATATTAACTTTCCTGTGTATATTTAGTACTCTGATGTTGCTATTAAAAAAAAAAAAAAAAAACATAATATGAAAAAAAAAGAAGAGAAAAAAGAATTACCATGAGTTCAGGCCATGACCTCATAAGGACTTTTTTTTTTATGTTACTTCTTTGTTTATTTTTTAACAATATTATCTGAGACCTCCTCTAAGAACATAGGTGCTGTTTCTATGCCTGTGGTTCACAAAGTCTAAGATTTCCTCCCTGAATCTTACATTAACTCCAAACCAGTGCTTTGCTCAGTTAAACAACTCTGAAAACACTTTCAAGTCGCAGTGTCTGGGCCCTGGGGTTGGTTATTAACTGAGTCTGAGTGAACCAGTCAGGTTCTACCACATTGTACCTGAGACCACAAATGCCCACAAGCTCAGGGTTGGGGGGTTCCAGTGGCTCCTTTATGGGCAGTCGCAGGCCAGCGAATGTCTTGCAAAGATCCCTGCAGAGGAAACTGTACCCTGGGGAAAAGGTCGGCCCAAGGCTTGTAACTGTGTGCTGGTGCCAAGGCAAATCATTTCAAAGGGCCTCCAGTATCAGAGCCAGGAGATACCTCGCACACTCACGGTATTTGCAGGGTGCAAAAGAGCTCTGCCCACTTTCAGACATGCTCGGATCAGGCAGAGTATATGGGAGCAAGGCCCCTGCCCCTAGGCCAGCAGTTCTCAATGTGGGGTGATCCTCACCCCCACAACGTCTGACAATGTCTGGAGACATTTCTGGTTGTTACTACGGGGTTGGGGTGCTACCGGCATCTAGTGTGCAGAGTCTAGCAGGCTGGTAAGCACCCCACACAGCACAGGACAGCCCCCCTACACAGTCGTCCAGCCCCGGAAACTGAGGTTGAGAAACTCACTCTTAGACCTGGGTAGGATGCTGCACTTAGCTTTGCTCCCCGTGGGAGGCAGGGTGATTTTTCGCCCTGGTGTGGACTTAAAGGTGAAGCCCTCACATCAACGTCAAAAGTCCCTGGGCCAGCTGGAGCTAAGCCTCAGGGTAAGAAAGCAAGGCTGGCGGGGCGACCTTGTGTTCTAGTGAACCCTGCGGCTCAGCCCCAGATGTGCTCTACACCTGCTAAGCACCTTTTAACCTGTCAATGTCTTTTCACATGTTTGAAATTACCAGAGCATATCACCAAGGTCATATGTATCACCCATGTATGACTTTGCCTCATTTGCCAAATGGGGCAGACCAAGCAAGCGACACGGGCATGGCTGGCAAGGGGTCCCTAGGCCAGGAGGGGAGGTCCCAGTGGACCCAGACCTCATCTAACCCACCTCTCAGCTCAGCCACAGCCTCTCTCACCTCCAGACACATCTCCAGAACATAGTTATCCTGCTGCTACATTTTCTGGCCTGCCTTCCTCTCTTTCTTTCCAGACAGGGTCTTGCTCTGTCACCCAGACTGGAGTGCAGTGGCACAGTCATAGCTCACTACAGCCTCAAACTCCTGGGCTCCAGCGATCCTCCTTCCTCAGCCTCCTGAGTGGCTGGGAATACAGGCATAGGCACCATGCCCATCTAATTTTTAAATTTTTTTGTAGGAACATGGTCCCATTATGTTGCCCAGGCTAGTCTTGAACTCCTGGCCTGACACAGTCCTCCTGCCTTGGCCTCCCAAAGCACTGGATTACTGGCATGAGCCACCACGTCTGGTCTGGCCCTTCTTTCTTAATCAAAACCATTGTCAAGGGCAAGGACCAGTCACAGAAAGATGAGGGGGAGAGGTGAGTCAGAGGCACGGTTGCAGTTTCAGTCAACACCAAGAGCTGATCTAATCTGCACGTAGGAAAAGGATGCACACCAAAGGCCTGCAGAGCTAGAGATGCTCAGCCTTAGGCATCTCCAAGACATAGGAGTGCTGAGGCCTGAACACAGAGTGAAGAGCCTTCTTTACAAGCCTGGAAAAAGCAGCATTTTCCCCTAATTAGCTCTGAAGAGCAGGTGGTGCTCCTCCCCAGTCCCCATCCCTCACCTGGCAGAGAATCAATGGACAATTTGCCCAGTGCCTCATCCAGCACCAGGCGCAGGGCACTCGTGACAAAAGCACTTCCATTCCAGCCTCCTCAGCATCCCGTGGTGCCTTTGTCTTCCTCCTTATCCCCACCCTGGGAGCTTCTGCTTGTCTGTGAGGCCAGAGACTGGCAGATGGCCGAGGTGACACTGGCTCCCCAGGACACCCTCTCCTGAGTCTGAGTCAATGAGGGGCCTAATGTCCTCAGGCACACTGATGAATGGGATACATAACTGTCTTTAACAAGCAGAAAAAAAACAATACCACTTTGGTCATTTAACTGATTTAGACAAATCAACAGCCTGGATACCATTAAAGTAAACTCAATTTGCTCACCAGTGAGAGGGGGAAATTGAAATTCTAGTATCCATTTGCTAGTGCATAGAGCTCTTGCCTTTGAACTGAAGCCAAGACAATAAATACGGGGTCCCAATATGATTGACTAAGTTTGGCAGAGTTGCCTGTGATGGGCTTTTGAACACACAAGCACAACAGAAACCTTGTGCACTGAACAAGGTTGTGGGTACTCCCTCCAGCGCAGCGAAGGCGGGTTGGGCATCGGGAGGGGCTGGTGCAACTACAGGTTCTCCCTAGAAACTGTCGTTACCAAATGTATGGGGCCACTGGAGGCAGGAAATATGATTTTGGGAAGCTAGGGGCTCCCCACATTCCTCAAGTGAAGACCATTCGATGGGCTAAGAGTCAAAAGTACACATTCGGTCTTCTCCAAAAACCAGCTGGAACCAACAACCCAGGCTGGTGCCAAGTTGGGAGAGACTGTAGGACTCTGGATCCTATTAGTCTGCAGATGCGATGCTCTCTGCGTTTGTTGTGACTTGTAATAAGTGCTTGCTCAAATCGATGCATCTCCTCTGCTTTATTAATGGGCATTAACTTCAGAGCTGAGAAATGAAGTTCTAAGGTGTGAGGATAGGTTCCTTTAGGACAGCAGTTCTCAGGGGATGACTTTCTTCCCGGAGAGATTTAGCACCAGCTGGTGACAGTTTGGGTTGTCATAACTAAGTAGTACAGCAGGCACTGACATCTAGAATTTAGAAGCCAGGGATACCATCAAACACCCTGCTATGCACAGGACAGCCCCATGACAAAAACAATCCGGGCCCAAATGTCAATAGTGCTGACATTGGCAGCAGTGTTCCGGGGGATGCTGAAGTCGACCTACTTTATGCAGAGGGTCATCAAGAATCGGCACTGCTCATCGGGTCTTCCCGAAGCCAGCAGCTTCCTTAGGGAACATCAGGGTTATCTCAGGAAGCGAAGGGTGAGCTCTCCTTTCTCAGGTTTTTTTTAAAGCCTGGGTGTTTTGGTTTGCTATGGCTCCTATAACAAAATAGCACAAACTGGATGGCTTAAAACCATGGAAGTGTGTTGCATCACAGTTCTGTAAGCCAGAAGGTTGAGATCCAGAGGGGCAGAGCCAGGCACCCTCTGAAGGCACTAGGGAAAGGTCTGTTCCAGGCCTCTGTCCTGCTTCTGTTGGTTACTTGGCATGTGGCAGCCTCCCTCCATCCTTCACATGGCATCTTTCCTGTGTGTGTGTCTGTGTCTACATTTTTCCTTTTAATAAGGATACCAGTCATGTGGGATTGCGGCCCACCTTTCTCCAGTAGGACCTCATCTTAATGAATTGCATCTGCAATGGGCCTATTTCCAGATACAGTCACGTTCTGAGCTGCTGGGGCTTAGGACTGCAGCACATACGTTTGGTCAGGGGGGTTGACACAATTCAACCCGTGACACTGGGGAATCAGAGATGCCATCGTTTGTATCGGAACCTGCCCCACTTTCCTTTGTTCTGCATCTATCCTGAGAAAACGTGAAGGGCCTCAGGCAGCAAGGGGTAGGGGATGCCCAGAAAGGAGATTCAAGTTCCTTCTCCTCCCCCAGCTGAAGCTAGGGGGGCTCATCCAGGAAACAATGGGGATGGTGGTGGCCTCACCTTTTAAAACCAAGGCAGCTGGGTTTCTAGTTGGAGGTTCAGCTGGGCTTCAAAAGGAGAAGCAGCTTCCTCTTAAAGTGACTGTCCCCAGAATAGTGTTTTTGTTTTGGTTTCAGGTTGCCAGATAAAGGTGAAGCAGCTGCCACGGTCATATGCTGTCATAAAACTTAGAAAAAAAGGAGAGCGAGGGAAGCGGAATACGTAACTCCTTGCACAGAGAACAGCTGCAAATGCAGAGCTTTGCCTCTTTTTTTTTCCTTCTTTATTTGCATCTGCGATTTCTTATTTCTGTTTCACTTCTTCCCTGAATTTCTGAGCTTCCTCTCTGGCTCTGGCACACTTCATCTGGCAGCATGGAGAGTGCCCCCCAGTTAGGATCTGCTGCACTGCAGGAGGGAAGGAGGCCTCCATTGCTGGAAAGACATTTGGCCACTTGCCTGTGACCGGGTGGACTCTTCCCAGCATTTCTTCTCCCGCTCACCTTTAGCAAAATGGTCTGGGCTTGCAAAGGAACCCTGTTATCTGTCTAGACTCTGTTCTCTATGTGCTCTCTTCTCCAAAGCTCTCCCCATGTTTTCTAACTCTTCAGCCTTGAACTTGGCAGAAGTGCTGCAGCAAAATCTCGACCCCCCGAGGCTGTGGTTCTCCAGACTGGCA